CCAGCAAGAGCCGAGAATTGGCCTCATCTGACTCCAAGGCCTGGGCAGGAGCGGGGATGCCGCTCCAGGGCTCTCAGGATGAAATCCCTGCACGTCTTTGCAAAGAGCCTGCTCCGCGGCGCGCTCGCCGCTCCATCTCCCGCAGCTGCCTGCGCCTAAAGCGCAGAAGCCGATCTTGCAAAACTGGAGAATGAAAGGGCCGCCTAGGGGAGCTTGGCCAGCAACGGGCAGGTTGGCTAGACCAGAAGAAACGCTGGACGCTAAATTTTTAAAACGAGATATAATACCACGAGAAGAGACAGATACAAATAACGCTAAAATAGAAAAATAAGGTATAATATGCAAGCTAAAGAAAAATGGCTATTTGGAAATTTTTACAAAAGAGACTTAGAATCCCCACAGTAAAATATTAAGAGACTTAAGTTTGATCTTAAACCTAAATCTTAAAGAAAAAAAATACTTAACCGTATGTTAATTTGAAACCGTATGTTAATTTAGAATTAGCGGAAATCAAGTATGACCTTTCCTACTAAGGAAGTCGGCGGGATCCGCGGAGCTGAGCGGGGAGGGCGGGATTAGCGCAGGAGAGCCGGCGCCCTCTCGTGGCCGCGGCGGAGAAGCGTCTCCTCGTGCGTACAGATTCTCTAGGCCCCCCTGCGGGTGACGCTGTCCTTACCTTCAGTTACTAGAACATGACTTGACATAGTAAGGTTATGCGGAAAGCCTGCCTCCCGAGACGTACCTAAGGAAGAGGGAGCAGCCCGTGGAATGAGCAGACATTCGGGAAACGAGGGGGGAAAGTCTCAAGAAGCGCTGAGAGTAGACCGAAAATTTAGAGCTCTCTGGAAAAAAAAAAGGAAAGAAAGAGAAAAGGAAGCTGATCATAAGAAAGAAGAGAGGCGCACGGGCTCGGCTTAAGCTTGGACTTTCATCAATTGAAACGAGTGCAGAGCACTTCCGAGAGGAAGAAGAAGGGCACCATTCGCCGTCTCTCCCTTCGGACACTGTGACCCCGAGCCCAGAGCCGTGCGAGCAGCCAGGCCTCCTCCTGCGAGGGACTGCAGAACGCAGCCAGACCCGGCGTTCGCTTCACAGCTGTCGTCACTTGGCAGCTTCAGTCCAACTTCTAGACACGCAGTTGGTAAAGTGATTGTGACAGCGCTGTCACGAGTATCGCATCGCCGTGCACGTCCGCTTAACTTTTCTGACTGTATTTATTTGCTACAGTAGTTTTACGCATTGAGAAATATTGTGAAACCAGCTATCAAATTCCAAAGCATCGTGTGAGCGTATGGCAATATTTGTACAGCAATATTTACTAGGGTGTAGGGGAAATTGGCTCAGGGCACCTCTGTATCCTGCAGGTGTAGTTCGTTCTCCCCAGTTGTCACATTTTTCCCATGGTGCATCGGTTCCATTTCAGACGTCACCGGTCTCTGTGAAAGGGAAGCGGACTGGAGGACAGGGTAGAGAATGAACAAGTGTTGCGCACATGCGTTGACTCACCGCAATGAACGCAGCGATTGCACATGGCAAACGTGTAGTAATAAAAAATTCAACAGAAACTAGAAAAAAAGTATCTTCATTAAATAATTCTTAGGTTGGGGCTACAAGGTCCTTGTGCTTTTGTTAATCAGAGAGTAGTGAATGGAATGCTTACAAAAACAATTGTATGGGGCTGGCGAGATGGCTCAGTGGTCTAAAGCACCTACTTGGAACAAGCTTAGCAAACCACAAGGACCGCGGTTCAATCCCCCAGCACCACATACCAGCCGGCCCCGCCCTCAGGTGGGCTGAGCTGGCCACACACACACACACATAAATAAATAAAATTTAAAAAAAATATTGTACTGATAGTTCCAGTTTCCTATAAGGTCTTCCTTATGGTAAAGTAGCCCAGTTACACAGTGAAAACCAAAGAACGCACTGGAAATACTTTGCTGTTAATAATGGGAGGCAGAAAGAAGGTGAAAAGTCGTGACCAGTGAAAGTCACTTCAGCGTATTCTATTAAATTTTTGTCCTTTTTTTTCTTCCTATTACAGAAAAACAAAGTATTATTTAAAATTTAACTTTTTTTTTTTTTTTTTTTTTGCGGTACTGGGATCGAATTCAGGGCCTTGTGCTTGCCAGGCAGGTGCTTATGCTGCTGAGCTGTATCTCCAGCCTCTAAAATTTAGTCATCGGGGGAGCCTGGCCCTAGCTCAGTCCTTTAAGTGGCTGCTTCCACAAAGCTGTCAGCCTCAGGTTGCTGGAGTTCGAACCTCACAACTCTCCCACTGGCCAAAAGTGCCCTGAAGGCATTCGAGGAACCAAAAAAAAAAAAAAACCTTATTCCATTTTTGGGGCCGGGGAGATGGCTCAGTGGAATAAGCACTTCTCTGGGAAGCGCAATGGTCTGAGTTCAATCCCCGGTTCCGCCAAAAAAATAAATAAATAAATAAAATTTAGTCATCTCTTGAGGACCAAAATTATTCATTGAATAAAAGTAGTCAATCTGTAGGACTAAACATGTCCAAAGATATGTAGCTTTATTTGTCAACATTTCTTAAAGAATTTTATGGGGCCGGCCTGATAGCTCAGCAGTCTAAAGCACCTGCTTAGGCAGATGAAGGGGCTGAGGGTTTGATTCCTGGCATGATGGGCTGGGCCCAACCCCAGGGTGTGCTGAGACTGTGATTGAGACTAGGCATGGTGGTGTGCACCTGTAATCCCAGTGCTTGGGAGGCTGAAAACAGGAGGATCACTACGAGTCTGATCTACATAGTGAGACACTGTAGACCCTGTTCTAATACAGAAAAAATAAGAATTTTATTATTTGTGGCATGTAATTAATTTTAGCATACTTCTTAAAAGGGTAATTTGCTTTCTCAATGTAAATCAGCTCAGATTAAATTAAACAATGGATTATTTGTTTATTCAAAAGATAGGAAAGTAAATAAACAGACCAGTGGGCCCAAGCAGAAGGTCTGTGTCATCTGAGCTTTGATTTGTAGCTGCCTCTGCACAGCTTGGAAGCTTCGGAAAAATCCTTCAGAACGTGGGGATTCTCTGCTGGAGAGCAGATGTTCCCACTTGTTCCTTATAGCCATTGTCCCACCACAAGGTGGCGCTGCGGTCAGTGTCTGGGACATGTTTTATTCTATGCAACTTCCTTTGGATTTGCAAATTGACAACCCCATACTGGAGACTATGAGAAGGTCTGTGCCCACATTTCTAACTCTGTAACAGTATGTAAACCACGGGCAGGCATTCATTTGTCCACTGATATCGGAGAATAAAGTCATAATTCTTACTTTCCAAGAAATTCACATGATGAGTACACATGGATTTAAGAAATTCCCTCTTTATCTGAAATGAGGATGGGCTATGCGCCGGCAAGTCTGCGGAATTCTGCTTGTCTTCTAGACTTCTTGCTGTCATACCGAGCCGCAGTTTACACTCTCTATCTTGTCCCGGACACAGCTCTCCGTGGGGCCGTGAGGGGTGCTGCTTGGGCCTATGTAGTAGACGTGCACCTGAAAGGGGCACTGGGCCCAGCTCTTTCTCTTTTTTCTCCTGGCTGCCAGAGAGTAAGCAGGTTTCTCTGCCAGCCTGGCTTCCTCAGGCTTCTCCCCTGAGGCACGGCTGCGCCACAGCCCCCAAGCCACGAGCCCAGGAGTCACGGACTGAAGCCATGAACCAAAACAAGCTTCCTCCTTCTTGTAGGCTGCCGCCCTGTGCTCGCCCTTTCCAGGGGCATCTGAGGAGTGTGATCACTGCCTCAGCTCTTCCTCTGCGCCCACATGGAGGTCTCCTGTACAGGCCAGGAAGCCCACTCAGGCTGCTTCCCTGCAGCTGGATGGATCCGGCTGCGGATTGCACTTCTAGAACTTTCCATGTTGAAGTCATTTCAAACATTAAAAATTTTGCAAAAACACATAGGATGAAGACCTCATATATCCATCATCCAAACTCCTCCTTGTTATCATTTTGCCATACTTAAATAATCACTCTGTAGAGGGAAGATAAGAGAATAGAGGAATGGATTTTTTCTGGACAACTGGAGGATAAGTTGATGACTAAGAACATCTACCAACCTTAGGAAAAACAAACACGATGGCTTCTTTATTTCCTTCTACAGCAACTTAGTTGTAAGGGAATACTCAGACAGAGGAGAATGTTTGTTCTAAGAGTGGTAATCAGTGCTATTTGTCACACTGAACGGGAAGAGATGGTCTTCGTGCCCCGTAACAAGAATTTGGCTGAGCAGACTTCCAAGTGCGGTTCTGCTCATGGCATCCAGGCTTCGCTCCTGGCTTTGCCCTCTTCACTGGGCCGCAGAGACCGCGCTTGAAGTCCTCAGCACATTGCCCTCTGCTGACTGCCAGGTTTCTTAGATCCTGCCCGAGCTCCTTCCACAAAGGACGATCACGCAGTGACCCTCCCTCAGCCTCCGCAGACACTGGCTTCTGTGCGGCTCGTGGCATCTGAAGCTCAGAGGCAGGAAGGGAGCAGCAGTCATGGAGCCGCCGCTCTCCTCATGCTGTGACCCTCCTCGCTCCCGCTGGGGAGGCCGCAGAACACCCTGTGACCTGATCGGAGGAGGCGACACAGGCTCTGTGAGACAGGATCCTTGGGAAGCCAGGACTGCCTCTCAGCACCACAGCAAGAACCTAGAAGAGAAGCAGAATTCCAGACTTGCCCGCGCACAGCCCATCCCAATTTCAGATAAAGAGGGAATTCCTAAAATCCATGCGTGCTCATGTGAATTCCTGGGAGAGCAAGAATTGTGACTTTATTCTCTGCGACATCAGTGGACAAATGAATGCCTGCCCTTGCCTCACTGCACAAAGACAAACGCTCAAAGCTTTTTGTCCTTTTCTAGCTGGTGTGTTTGCCTTGCGTACCAAGAATAATAAAAATAAATGTTACTTAATTTCCAATAGAAATCATTTGATGTTGACATCTTGAATGTAGAAGTTCTTAAGTAAAACTAAAGATGAAATTTCAATAATAGTATGTGGTAATATCATATTTCTCATATAAAAATTTGAAAGGAAAATCACAGAATCTGACATAGCAGTTATACAATAAAAGGAAATAAAGCTAAGTGTAAAATACATCGCAAATATGTTTCTAATTTTCATCAAATGTACAATTTCTATCAAGAAGGAAACACTCCAAAACATAATATTCATTAAAAGGCAATACAGTTTATGTTGAAGACATTGTTTTGGGGACAGAAAGGGCATAAAAGTAGCATAGAAAAATGCAACACTCTCAATTGATTTTATTCGCAACATCAATGGAGCTGCTTGCTTCCCTAAACATAAGATACTACACAAAAATTTAATTTCATTTAGTTTACTAATGTGATCTAAACAGATTTAGCTTAAGAACCAAGGATAGGACATAAAACAAAACTTGGCTGAATGCTACAAAGAGAACCAAACAAGTGACCAAAGTTTCAGTGGATGGCGATTTTATATTTAAAGTTAGTTTACTAACTAATATAAAAATAAATCTGCAATGAGCAGCATGATGCAACATGGGCCGGTTTGCAGCACATGTGCAAGCCCAGCACAACTGGAGAAGAGGGACCCGGACCCCCACTTCCTGGCCGGGCCCCACTCAGGTCCGCATGGACATGGAATCTCCCAGCAGGGCGTCCAGCTGGGAGATCTCTTGTCTCAAGTGGTGAGTACCATTTCTCATAACCTCTTCCTTTGTAGGTAGTGGCTAAGCTTATGAAAGAAACTTAACTTGCCAGTTCTGAGCACGAGAGGGGTAAGAGTACTTCTTGATGGGTGCGCATGGTTTGGGGCTACCAACATAAGCAAGAGTGGGTATCATTAAAAAACTCCGACATCAGGGGCTAGTCACCCGAAAGAGCAGGCATGAGGTCTCTCAGGAGGACTGGAAGCGGAGGGAAGGGGAGGAAAGCAGCCCACAGCGCAAGTCTCCGAGCTCTTCACGCCACACGCGGCAGTCTTTGATCTGTACTGGAAGCGACAGGTTCCGGTCACGGGAACTGTGGTCTCCGCGTCCACCAGAATCGCGATCACCAGCACGTGGTGCTCAGCTTACTGCCTAGCAGGAGAACGCACAGGAGCAGCTGGAGCGAGGGGCTCGCGTGTGGAGGAGCAGAAGACGCCGTCCTGCACACCAGAGGGTCTGCTCTGTACGGCCTTTCTATGTCCGGGGGCAAGGCCGTCATTCCCTGGATCTGGGAAGCAAGGGGCAGAAATGCAAATGAGGAGGTGACTTAAGAGCAGGCCCCCTCTTCCTCGGCGGTGGTGAGAAATCAAGCCCACAGGGGCAGGGGCTGAGGGAGGCAGACCTCAGCAGGGACAGAAAGTCCGGGTGCAGGCGCGGGAAGGAGGTAAGATGGGAAAGAAGAGCTAGAAAGCTGGCCCCCAGGTTTTATCTCTACTTTTTGTATTTTGGGAAAGAGTCTACAAGGTGTTCAGGGTCTCACTACTAGATCGGACTCGTAGTGATCCACCTGCTTACAGCCTCCCAAGAGCTGGGATTACAGGCGCACACCACCAGGCCCAGTCTCAATTGCTGTCTCAGCGCGCCCTGGTGGATGAGGCCGGCACAGCAGGCTTGGGGATCGAACCCCTGGCTTCTGTGCCTGCTTGCAGCTGCTTTAATCTGCTGAGCTATTTGACTGGCTCCATGGGCTTTATCTTTAGACTCTCACCCCATCCTCTTCCTGCTCTATCACATCTTTAGCCGTAAGATAGATTACCTTCTTCAAAGGAAGCTTCCAGGAATCAGTTTTCAGTGCACTCAAATAATTCCTGAACACATAAATGATCAGTGTTCTGGCTTGAAACTAGACGTCCTCCCCAGAGCCTCACATGGTCACAACCAGGGCTTTTCTGAGGTGGCTCGATGTAGAGTGGGTGACACAGGGATGAAGGGAGCTCCCCTCTGAGTGTGAGTGCTACCTGCTCAAAGGGCAGAGAGTCTTGGTGCCATACAAGGGACAGAAAAGGGGCGCCTGTGGCTGCCTGCTGCCTGCATCACTGCCTTCTGCCTGCCCTGCCACACCATGGGCTGTTTCACCTCTGCCTTGCAGTCAGCTGAGTACAGGGTTAGCCATCTAAAACCTGTGAGCTGAAGTAAACTTCTCTTCCCTTGACTATGAGTGCTGGGTATTTTATCTCAGCAATGAGAAAAGGAAAACAATCAGCTAGACCAGAAGGTGACCCAACCACTGATCTATAGACGTGTCTGACCCTCAAATTTTCCTGTCATGGATTCAGGTAAAATATCATATCTAGGATCTGAGAGGTGAAAAGAAAGTGGGCTTACCGACCACTCTTCGTTGTCTGTCTTGGAACACCTCACGTTCACCGGCAGGCTCAGGACAAGCTTATTGAAGGAGAGCCCGTCCTTCTTAGTCCATTTAAACTTATTCATCGCATCCATGAAAGAAAGGTTTTTATACTGCTTGGGGCTTTTGATAATGAAAGGCCATGTCCTGGAATTAAATAACTACAATCACATTCATGACAAAACATTACCTATTTCTTTTGGTTTAACAATATTAAAGTAGACTTCACTCTTACTCATTTTTCACACATAAAGAACCCTACGAAAAGCATTTATGAGCTCACTAGTGCTTACTAACGAATATGCATCCCTATATACCAAATGAGGAGCCTTAGAGACTGCTCCTGCCCTATCCTTCCTGCCTCCCTCCCTCCCTCCCTTCTTCTCTCCCTCCCTTCCTCCCTCCTTCCCTCCTTCCTTTACTTCCCTGTGATAATGGGCACTCTAGCTAGGGGTTCTCTACCAATGAATTCTGTTCCTGGTCCTATGTTTTACATTTTCCCTTAGGGACAAGGTCATGCTAAGTGGTCCAGGCTGGCTTTGAACTTACAGTGCCCCCTCAGCCTCCTGCAGTGCTGGGGCTGCTCTTGCTTTAGCAGCAGATGGGCACTAACAAAATAATTGGACCTCAGAAAGGTTCCCCAGAGTCTCACAATTGTAGCTAATAATGTCAGTGAGAAGCAAGTAAGGAAACCTGTAGGTTCTTGAGTGATACCGTGGCCAGGGTAAAACCCAAATCCACGCACTGGGAAAACCTGGGCCTGTCTGTTTTCACCTTGCATGAGGATAAATAAAAAAGTTAGACTATAAGCCAATGGTTTAAAAAATTATGGAGAAAACAATACTCTATACTCAATATTCTCTTGTTCCAGTTGCCCCGTGTCAAATGTACAAGAAAGAAAGAAGAAACCACCCCTGCCAAAAACTAACTAACTAACTAACTAACTAACTAACTGAGAGACTGCTCTTCAAGTGCTGTCTTTCATTAGAGGCTTTATACTATTTCATTTCGTGCACATCCAAAGCTTACATTAGCTAATCCATGAATGTTATAGGAACTTATTATGGGTGACCAAGGGGTGTCGGCTCCAGGGCACCCGAGACAGTGTTCTAGTCATTTCTAGTAGTTACCAAGTCATTATCCACCTGCTGAGGCGTCAATATTTGCATATTTAATCTTCACAATTTCTTCGTTTATTTCTGACAGCACTCTCTCTTACATGGATAATCTACTCAGGCACACTGAATGTTGTTTTTTTTAAAGGTAATTCGACAAATTTTATAAATTTTTGGAATTATGAAGACAACATTTTTACTATCAAGATTGAAAATTATTCTTTCTATACTCTAACAAGGAAAGAAAAGCAGAATAATCTATGAAAAGTCATATTCTTTCATTTTAATTTCTTTTTTACTCTAAAGTCATTACACTATTGCTGAATTTAATTATTTATTGGTTTTCAACACAGGGTCCTGCTTTGTAGTTCAGGACAGCCTTGAACTCACTACATAGCCTAAGTTAGTCCTGAACTGGTCACAATCTATCTGCTTCAGTCCCCTCAGTGCTTGGATTACACGAGTGTGATAATATGCCCCGCTTTTCATTGTTGACTTTTTGGCAGAACCGGGGATTGAACTCGGGCCCTTACAATTGCCAGGCAAGTGCTTATTCTACTGAGCTATCTAGCCAGCTCCAAAAGATCACCTGTGTTTGGATTTTTTTGTTTGTTTGTTTTTCCTTGGTGGGGGGGGGGGATTGAACTCAGGACCCTGCACTGGCCGGGCAAGAGCTTATTCTACTGAGCTATCTCCCCGGCCCCATTGTTGACTTTTAAGAACCCTTCTTTATATAGCTGTCTTAAAGATAATATCATAAGTTAAGAGCCTCCCACAAAAAAAGAGCTTTCCACAGCAACATTACAGGATAACACACCACACTCACCAATGACCTAAAAGCTACAGAAATCAATAATCAAGTTATGGTGACATATAGAGACATAATCTAGAATTAGTATAGAATTAAAGGAACTTACTAAATTTGTAATGTCCTTTTAAATGTGCCAGCAGCTAATTATTTTATTTAATATAAAATAACTTTAAATCAAAATTGAATATTTTCAAACCAATATTATTTAATATTTGAAATATTGTATTACTATTTCCAGATATTTTGTATTCGGGAAAGTAAGGAACCTATTTTGAAAAGAGAAAATCAACTATATAACAGAAAAATGCTTGGGGGATTGGGGAGTGGGGAGTGGGGGAGGGAGACACAGTTTATCAGCCTGCAACTACCTGGATCACCACACGGCGGCGCTTGGATCTAGAGTGTCGTGTTCAGGTGGGCTAACAGCATCCTGAGCTCCCAGGCACCCATTTTGCGCGGGTGAACACCGGCACTTCCGGTGAGATTGCACGGCACAGAAAGAGGAGATGTAAGTGCACGTGTCCACCTTTACTATAAACAGGTAGAAGAGGGCCAACTCCATGGCTTGCTTATATGCTGGAGACAGCGTCCAAGGCTGGCGGACCCAAGGACACGTCATTCTGAGGTGGATCTATGTCTCCTTTACTGTCTCTTTCCACTCCTGCTAACTTTCTGGTCCCCAACCAGCAATGTCACTATGCCAACATGCTTTCTACTTAAATTTGTTAACTGAGCTACCATGGTAGCTGACAAAAACAAACCGTGCTAATATTATGATTTAATATCGATGGGTCATTTTCCTTTATAAATCCAATTAAAACTCTGGGATAAGTTTTCCTTACAGAGTAGCAAAACTTTCTTGTACAGAGTGCAGTAGATAAGTATTGACTTTCCAGCAAAAGCACAGTAACTGATATTTGTACATTAGTATCTGACCTCTTGATAAACTGAAAAACAGATAGAGGAAGATAATCTGTGGTTAAAATTGTGATCTGAGCCTCTGAAAATCCCAGTCTTGTCTTAAAAGTTTTATTGCTAGAGTCTTGAGAAGAGAGAGCAGAGGAAGGGAGACGCAAGATCCGACAAGAAGCTGTGTCCGGGTGTGCGGCTGGACGGCTGCGTCACGGCTCCTCCCTCTGCCAAGCCAACAGCCGTGTGATCAAAAGTAGCAAAATAAAAAATTCATTAACAGATTTTTGTTCCGGCCATGTTGGAATAACGGATAACAGATTACCACTACATAAAAATACGTAGAACGCCTAGTTTTGGACACTGGAAAACAGATGGCATAAGCAGCGGACAGCGCAGGTGCTCCAAAGAAAGCGAGGTCGGCTCAGATGCTGTGTGTAGCCCAGCTTGCTGCCTGGGCCACTTTCTGAACCACGGGAAGGAGGTGCTACTTGCACCCCACCCATGGCAGTCACAACAAAGGGACAAATGTCAGTGTTGAAACAGTAGGGGGGGGGGCAGGGAGATGGCTCAGTGGAATAAGAGCTTCCCTGGCAAGCACAAGGGCCTGAGTTCAATCCCCAGTTCCAAAAAAAAAGAAAGAAAGAAAAGAAAAGAAACAGTAGGGGGCACTGGAATTCTCAAGGTAGAGCAAGCACTGCAGAGGAAGAAAGCGCACCTGGACGGAGAGATCTTTCCAATATGTCAGTAATGATCCTAAAATTCCACAGACTGAGCAAAGAACAACTGTGGGATGCTAAGCAAAGTAATTTCCAGAACCCACAGAGAACTGGCAGACAGCCAGGACCCAGCAAGCCATCCCAGGCGTCTAGCAGGAAATTCAGGGTGGGTCTGGGGTAGGCAAGGAGCTGCATAAGCCCTCGGCCTTTCTAGAAGCCAACCTACAGTGAGTTTTAAATAAATAAACATAGTCTAATATTGATCAACATAAAATCTATAGTATCCTGGATTTGTGTTCTGTCAAAAATTACTGAATGCATGAAGCCTTATGTAAGTGTGAGCCAGGGAAAGGCTGGAGAATACTCCAAAGCCTAGAACTAATAGTACTAGTATACAAGGAGGTTAAAACATAAAAAAAGTACTGACAAAGTACTAACAGAGTATATGCAGAAACGTCACTGAGAACCATAAATCAGTGTTGAGACAAAGGAAAGAATTCTAGGGAGGTGAAAGAAATACACCACGTTTATACAGTAGATGACAGTACTGTTAAGCTGTCCTCTCAAATTGATCTAGAGATTTAACATAATCCTGTTCAAATCCCTGCAGATTTTTAAAGACATTGATAAGTTGATTTAAATATACATGTGAAGATGAACATAACCTAGACTATTAAAATTATTTGGGGAAAAGACGACAAAGTTTAGAGCGTTACATAGTCTCTTAGTTTAAAGCTTCGCACAACACAGTAGTGGATAAGTGTGCTTTAGTGTAGTGTGCCCATCTGTAGTCATGAAGCACAGAAGATCCAGAGTCACCATTTGGTCAAATAGTTTTCCAACAAACATTCCAAATCATTCAAGAGTAAAAAAGTGGCTTTCTTGCTTAGAAACGGGCTATTCACTAAACAATACGACAAACCTTGGTTTTTCCTTATACAACACAGAAAATGTACTCCAAATGAACTATCAACCTAGAAACAAAAGTTAAAAATATAAACTTGGGGGCCAGAGAGATAGTTCAGCGGACTAAGTGCCTGCCTGGCAAGCGCAGGGACTGGGGTTCGATCCCCAATGCTACAGGCCGCGCTGGCCCCGCCCCCGGGGGCTCTGAGCGGACCAGAGTCGGTTCGTGATGGCACATGCCTGTAATCTCAGCGCTGCGGAGGCTGAGACAGGAGGATCACTAAGAGGCCAGGCTGTGAAGTGAGACCCTGTACCAAATCCATTAAATAAATAAACTTGTTAGAAGGGGAGAAAAAAGGACCTTCTCCCAACCCCTAGGAGGCACACGCAGGTATCTCCGAAGTACACACTAAACCCACACGATGGAGAAATGGACTTCTACAGAACAACACAGTCAAAAAGTGAAAACCAACCTACGACATGCATTTAACAAAAGATGACACCTGGAAGGACTATTGTGATTCAACATTAAGGACACAAGTGAGCCATGAAGCAATATACGGAACTTGGAACAGAAGGATTTTAGAGCAGCGAGCGTGCACACGCACACGCACACGCACACGCAAGCCCGCAGCGCGTGAGGCGCGAGCGGAAGTCGGGGTCCCCAGGATGCGCAGGATTCTCGCG